CAAATAAAGAAAAAAAAAATAAAAATGCAAAAAAAAAAATTGCATATGGGTTTGGAATGTTGAACTGACTTGTGTTCAAGTGGGATTGGAACAGTTTGATGGCTTCTTCAGTAACGAAGCCCATTGTGGTTGAAATGAGTTAGCCAGTTGATGATGATGAAGATGAAGATGATGATGATCGAATTAAAGAGAAAGAGGCAATTTCTGGTCGGTGTTTTTTGTTTTCAAAAAAAAAAAAAAAAGAGTTGATTATTGTTGTTTCATATTTAATGTCACAACCAACCAAGAAGGCGTTTCGTTGTGTTATAAATAAATTGGTTGAGTTTCAAATTGAAGAGGCCCACTCATATGAAATCTGAAGAATTTAATTACTAATATGTCACCCGCGCGTTATCTGGCTTGATTTAAAAATGATTTAAGTGAATTATAATTTAGATAAAAAAAAGTGTACATTAAAACATGTATAGAGATAATAAAAAGAATGATAAATATTTTATTTAATATATTTTAAAATGTTTCTCTAAAGGCTTAATGGCAAAACCACGACCTTTAAGTTTTTTGCAATTTAATTTCAACTTTAAGGTAATTGCAAATAAATCGCAACTTTTTTTAGTTTTGGCAACCCGAACCCAAAGTTGATCGGCAGCGAGCTCCGTGCCTACGTGTCCAGGCAGACAATCTCACGTGTCCTCAGACGTCGCTAACGAGGATGCCGCTCAGTCACACACACACACACACCAAAGGGTAAAATTGTAAAAGTAACACTTAGATGTATATAAATTAATTTGTTCATTAATATTCACTCTGAATCTGTAAAATTAGGGCTACGAGAGTTCCGTGCGATTATCCTCACCACAATTCAATTAGGTTTGTTTGTTTATCTTCAATTTTTACATGGGATTCGGTAATTAACGCAAGAAAAATTAGTCCTGAAGAAGGAATTGGCACCAGTTGTTCGTGATTTTCGTGCATCGGTAATGGGAAAAACGGGTAGATTGGGAAGCTTCGAACATGTGATTTCCAGGATGTCTGCCTCCTCACCGCGACGACATTCCTTTTGGCTGTGAAGCTTCGTACCGCCACCGCTCCGAGAACTTTGGCTTGTGTGGGAAGAGAACGACATTTTCAGAGGTATGGGGGATGAGCAACTCAATTAGGTTTGTAATTGGGAACGAGAAGCTCGGAAATTGAGAGATGAGCTCGGAAATTGAGTGAGGAGGTCTTAAATTGGGCGATGAGGTCGTGAATTGGGCGATTAGGGTTGAATTTGGGGAAGACATGAAGCAGACTCCTGAAATGCTTTTTTATTTGTATGTGTGTGACAGTGTGGCATCCTCGTCAGCGACGTCTGAGGACACGTGAGATTGTCTGCCCGGACACGTAGGCACAGAGCTCGTTGCCGATCAACTTTGGGTTCGGGTTGCCAAAATTAAAAAAAGTTGCGATTTATTTGTAATTACCTTAAAGTTGAGATTCTTCTCTTTTCAAAAAAGGGGGATCAATACTGGTTCCCCAATTCCCCCCCGGGTGACTCGAACTCGGGACATGATACACGCCGAGCGAAGGTACGCACCACTGCGTTAACCCCTCTTCGTCACCTTAAAGTTGAGATTAAATTGCAAAAAGTTTAAAGGTCGTGGTTTTATTTGCAATTAAGCCTTCTCTAAATACTATATTAGTAGTCGATGAATTGTATTCATAATGACTATTATCAAGAATAATAATCATCAGACAAATGGAATCCGTGACTATAGGAACAACAACAAATAATTGATTGACTAGAAAATATCATGGATTTTTTGTCATAAAAATTTTAAAATTAAATATTATAAACATCATTTGTGATATTCAACGAAAAAATGTATTTGCCACATTAATGACACTTCTTGAAACTTGATCATATCTAAATAATAAAGATATTATTACTATTGTATAGTTAACTAATATATAATAATTAAAATACACATGTACAAATATAATTCAATTAAAAAAATATAATTGAAATGCTTAAAATAAAAAACAAAATTGACTCAATTATCAAAATACAATTTGATAATTCATTTCTTTGCAAAATAAGCCCGAAGTTGATTAGAATGATGTGCAAGATGAATTACTTTTTGTGACCTTACAAATAGGCACAGTAATCATTAATATTAATGTCAATAACAAATTACTTATTTTTTGCTCGCAATTCATGTGAATTGACGACTACATAGTGAACGAAGCTCCGAACAACCTTCCTTTGAGAAAACAACCCGAATGAGAGCTTTCGATCGTCCTCGGCTAAAAACTACAAAGAAAATGCCGTCATTGCCGGGAAAGGCGTGTAGGACGCCAAGTTTACTATCTAGTTGTTGTTTGTTCACGTGTTTCTTTTGCTTTTTGTGGATTTTACTTAATTTTGCGTGTTTCTATTGATTATTTGCTTATTTTCTATTTCTCTTGCTTTTTGGTATGTGTGTTCTTGTAAATATCGTGTCGTGTTAGTTATGTTTTTGTGCTTTTCTTTTCTTGGTCTCGTGTGCCTTGGTTGTTTTGTTGTTCTTGTGCGAAGTATTTCACTTGAGGAGCTCCGATGTATCCATACGACTATTCTTGTGCCGGTAGCTCGTCTCGTGGATACCTCGACAATTACCATGAGGACATACATTCATATGGAGAGTCGCCCCATCCATATTCGAGCTATTCAAATCCTTATTGTTATGACGGGTACTCTACATCTAAAGTGTATGGTCCCAGCCATTCTTACCTGACATCTCAAGACGAATATGGTTATTACACTCCGGGTCACGACAAAACGTCTCTCTTCTATCTTCGCCTCTCGATTATTGTGATGCAACACCTCCACCCGAGCCGACTCGAGAAGCTTCTGTAAGCTGTTTAGATAAGATAATGAAGAAAGTAGAGAAGTGCAATCAATCCCTTCGTGCTTCAATGGTTTCCAGATCCGAAAAAAAACAAATCGAGTCCTATGTTCCATCCTCTTCCTCATATGAGCACCAATCGGTTGGCCAACCGTGTGCATCGAGTTCTGAAGCTTCATTTGCCTACCGAATGTCACCGAGAGGTTTTGACAAGCACTCAACTCATAGTTTGAGGAGTATTCCCATTCCATCTGTTCTTCAAGTAACACTCGTGAAGTTCGACTCTACCGTGATTTCTTTTCTTGATTTAGATGCCTCTCACGTTCTGCTTGGTAGATATTGTCCTTTATCGGCGAGAATTATTGGGGAGAGCACTCGGTTAGAGGGAGAATTCTGAGCTATGGTGGATAGGTTTACCTCCTTGAAAGAGATGGGTCTCACTCTTGTTTATGATTGAACACAATATCTTGACACGAGTGAGGACATTGATGACTTGGTTGTTAAAGAAATCTCTTCTCTTGACGACTTGGACTTGCAATCTACATTAGGTACGTCAAACCTCTCTTTTGATGATTGTGCTTTGAGTTCGATCTCTATTATTGAGAGTGAATATATGTATTCAGGAGTTGTTATGGTGTATGTCATGGGGGAGAACTTATTAGAGGATTCAATTGTGCCTATCATATGAGTCGAGTGATTCTAGCAGATTCGATAGTGCTCGGGAGGATGATTTTCAGGAGGAGAGTGAGGTAATTCATGATGTTGTAGATGATGATGAGGATGTCAAGTCGTTATGTGATGTCGTTTCCCCGAAGTTCGCAATGATTGATGATTCGGCTCGTGATGTTGAGTATGAAGTAGTTCTCATATCATTTGGATAGTCATTTCGTGTTATTGAGGATCGTGACTATTTAGAGGATTTTAGTGCGTTGAAACCAGTGCTCCCGATGCTTGAGATCGATAAGTACACATCCGAGATAATGCATATGATGATCGAGATTGATTCGCATGCTCCACGGACATTTTCGTATACCCGGAGGTCGATTATGTGGCTATGATTCGTAAAGACTTACCTCTTCTCTTGGTGGTTGTTGAAATACGTGCTCGGTTTTGAAAGAACTCGGCCACAAGAGCGCATTTCGTCCGCCTTTATTCCATTCTACAGGCTCGACTACTCTTGAAAAATACAAACGCGTGGCATGATCGACATTTCTTCTTTAATCCCGGTTGATTTTTGTTGATAACATCGAGCTCAAGACGCTAAAATGGGCTCTTCCTGGGAGGCAACCCACGGTTATGACTTTTTTTCATTTTTTATATTCTATCGAAAATAAATAGCCCCGCAAACCACACGACACACGAGATTTTTTAAGAAGAAAACGGAACTCGGAGTCGAGATTTTGTTGAAATTTGGGATAAAATATGGTGAAGTGTTGAAAACTTGGGCTAAGTGTAGAAATTAATGAGAAGAGCTCGTGCAGACCTGCTCGGCAATACCGACTTGTTAGAGTTGAGCCGAAAAAAAAATAGGGGAGCTATAATTTTGCTCGGAGGTTAAGTCGAGAATTTGGAGCAAAAATCATCGAAATATGGCTAAGTATGAGATTTATGCTAAGGGGACATAAGGATAAGGACACTCGCACGCGAAACGACGTTCGCGCCCAGCGAATCGATGCTCGCACGCGAATTGGCGTTCTTGCCCGGCGAACTAGCATTCACGACTCGCGAAAAGCATTTCGCCGGTGAACACGTGCGACAAGGTTCAGCCATAAATGTTCGCGCGCTGAAATTCGCTTCGCACTTAGCGAGAATGAACTTGCACGCGAAACATCGTTCGCGCTCTACGAGCGCGGCTTCGCGGCTCGCGAAACTCCATCTACTGGCGAATACGCGTGCGCCTCTCAACTTCTACCCTGGTATGTTCGCGCGCCGAAACTGCTTTTGCACCTAGCGAACCCCAGTTCTCCATCCAAACCTAGTTAACGTCCGACGAAGTGCCCAGAGCCAGTTGTGCCATCTTCTTCCTCAAGCATTCCGGTCACCGCGCGCCACCGTGTGCCACCACCTCCTCTGGCCAACTTGCTCCGATCTTGGAAATTTTTATACAACGCAAAATTCTCCTCGTAGCTGACAACATATCCGAATTTCCGACCAAAATTCCAGTGAGAAGACCTCCAATTTTCCGGTGAAAGATTATCGATCTACAAATCTCACCGGTCTTCTTTTTCAAATTCTCGACGACTCAGGGGGACCCACAAAAATCTGAGGACATCTCCGGAATCCTCTTTTTGAGGCGTACCAGATGTTGGCCACCTTCGTGGGATCCGACGAACTTTTCTGGCGAGCTATTGTTTGGCCAAAATTCACTCATCGAGCCTCCGGTTCAACGTTTTTTGCCATTTTCTTAGCAAACTTCATGGATTCTTCATGGGAGGTTCATTTTTCGGCAATCGGAGCTCCGAGCCATTCTTCTCTCTCTTTTCCCACATTCCGGCACCATATTTTTCGATGAGTTTTAAGGTATCATGTCTCTTCGATTTTTCTTGATTATTGTTTGTTTGGAATGATGTAGATACTATTCTTGCCGGAGTAGCGGTCTTGGTGAGTCGAATTGACCGTTTGAGGTGATCTATCAGTTGTGTTGGGGACGTCTTGTTAGACGTGCCGGTTTCTTGTTGAAAGTGGTTACTGGAGTCGCCCGATGTTCAATTGTTTCTTATGGAAATTTCTGGACACTATTTTATGAGGAAATAACTATATTAGTCTATCTTATATATGCAATCGTGTGCTTGGTCAAACATTGTTGAAAAGTGACTAATTTGATATTAAAGAAAAAATAGTAGAAAGGAAATTAGTTTCTGATTATTTCTTATACTAGTACAATACTCGTGTACTACACGGGTGTTGAGTTAAGAAATATATCATAAAAGTTATTACTAAAATAAATTTTTTATTTAAAAATTTTCATGGACTAATTGATGAAAAAAAAGAGAAGAATAAACAATGCAGAAAATGATTTGTCAATCGTAATTTATGAGATACATATAGGAGAAAATTATAATATGGTAAGATTGCTACTTATACAAACTAGAAGAAAATGTGTATTAAGAGAAAAAAATAACAAAATTAAATATACACTTACCAAATTTGAAAAAAAAAAAATTATTTATGTCTACTACCAAACCTACCTACAGAGCGAAATGAACATATAAACAACATTATATAGCATAGATTTTCGTCATATCAACTTCCAAAACGTGGGAATCTTTCACTTAGACTAAACATGTTTTGAATTAATATATAGGGACGGATATGCAATCGGGACTCCTTGTGTCTTTTAAAACTTTAATTTTTCTTTCCCGTACAAGTCAGACTATTTCTGGTAACGACACCATCACATCCAAATAAAGACTCCATGGGATAATAATTGAAAATTATAACTCGACAGCAGGCACATGAATATGAAGCTCCAGATAACGTTAACAATAGAGAAAGTTGGGCGGGACGGGACATTTGCTATTAGCAGCAAAATGACCCCAAAAAGCGCGATTCAGAAAAGATTATGAAAATGCTACTTTCTCTCTCACGTTTTTGCATCCAAATTCCGCCGTGTCAGATAAAGTTGGAAGGCAAATTTTCAAAAATGGTTCATT